AATATCAACTATAAACCCTTTTCTATTACCCCATCTCTTTATCATCGTCCTATCTGGCTCTGTTTAAACCAAGGAATATTGCTTTCTTCAAAATTTAGTCTGAGATCCATCTCTTAACTTCTCAATAAATCAAGAAAACCCCAAGCATCTGTAACAGACACAGAGCCAAAAAATCAAGGCATGGCCCAAGTACAGATTTTATAGCTAGAGTCAGGAAATTATTGAAAACCCAAAAAAAGCAAACAACATTTCTGTGAAGATTTTGTCTGGGAAGGCACGAGGGAACATCCTGAATCCTGAAGGTTTTTGTTGTAAAACTGTGTAGTGAGGCATAACACAGCATTATGAGGCGGTTCAGGCCCTAAAATGCAAGTCATCAGCACAGACCTTTGAAACAAAAGCACAACTCTACAATTCAATCCCTGAGCAGTCTGGAAATCCATTTAGGAGCAGAAGCATTAGCAGGACTTTGTAGCACCCTCTCCGGAGCCCTTCCATACCCAGGGTTTGACATGAATGATAAAGTCTGAGTAAAGCTGGAGAATGCGTTGAGGGGCTGTTTATATCCAGATCCATTATTTTTTCAGAGGAGTTTGTAAATGAATGATTGCGGGGGAGGGAAATGTACGTAACACAGCTAAAGCAGAATGTTTTACTGTGTTTTCTGATTCCATTTTACTTCTTTAGTCTCTCTGGTCCCCAAGGATTTTTCTGAAGGGCCGATAAAATAAAATGGGTGAAACAAAGCCATAAGCCAGTTAAGTCTGAAAGACATGTCATCTCATCTAAAAAGAAGAAACGGACCATTTCCGTGCCTAGGGCTGACAGCAACGCCTGAGCTAGCAATAGCGCTATTCCATTTGATTTATAGAATAATGGGGTGACAAATGATGACAAAAATAAACTTTTACTGCACTGAACTGCTCCTTTATTTATGAAATTTGGCCAAGTAGTGAAATCTTTTATCTGCAAGTTGTAACATGGAGTGGAAACGAGCGATTATGGTGTGGTAATAGTAATCCAGTGATGGAGGCCGAGTCAGTCGGAAATGGATTGAGGTAAAATAACTACCGCACCATGATAAATGTGAACAGCGCTTTGCTGACAGATGATCTAACAGGTGTTCATAACAACTATATAAGAGGATTTATTTATGACTAGCCACAGCCGCAGCACTGTAAATCAACTCCAGCAGCTGCACACCAATGAAACCAAGTCCCTGATGGAGAAACAGTGCAAGAACCCAAAAGAACACAATTCACTCCAGAATCTTAATCATCAAATAACATGTTTTTCTGAGCAATTACACCACAGTGCAGAAATCAAAATGACTTTCAATTACATGAAGCTGAGCCACCAACTAACTTTGCCCAAGCCCAGGCACTGGCAGAGACCCACAGATCCATACAAAGCAGAATGGTTATTTTTGGACTCAGTATCAAAGAGGTGCCTTTTTTGTTTTCTGATAAAAGTAACCACTTTGGTGCTGTTCTAGCATAGCACTGACACAACAAGGAGCAAGAGGAAAAGAACAGGAGTGCATTTTGCCTTGCCGCAGTGTAGTCCTTCCTAGCTGTGTCAAATCTAAATGTCTGTAGGGCTACACTCCAAATTGTATGAATGAAATTATTGGATCACCAAAATCTATCACAAATCCCACCAAAACACTGCTGTCTCATACAAAAGTTTATGAGGATTTTAAACTCAAATGATCCTCCTGTTTTTCTTTAGGGGATACATCTGCAAACATATAGAAAGACAGCTGAGGGAGGAATTAATGGTACCAGGTGGGATGGGTACCAAGTGGGATTACTGTTTTTTTGACAGTGTTGAAAAAAATGTCTAAAGAAATAACTGAACTGGTGTCTCTTTCTTCAATTCTACCTCCTTCACCACTGATGTTTCAGAGTCATTCACTTTTCAAACCGGGTTCAGTAAGTGCTGGCATGCTGTGCACTGCTGGTGCATGCAGAGAGCAATTAGGTGCCTAAGAGTCTTCACATAAATATACAAAAAAACAAAATTAAGATTATAGGAGATTATAGATACTACAGGATCAAACTATTCCCTGTGTCAAACACCATCTACAAAGAGAGGGAAGGGCTTCACTGCAGCAAGGTACACTGTTATACACAAGCAATTTCCTGGGCACCTTTTAGGAGACCAGAGGCTCTGCAGTGGCCCAGGGCAGAGCCAGCTGCCCCTTGTGGACCTGCAGCTGGGGTCTGTCAGGGTCTCCAAGAGTGGCAGCTGTTGCAACAGGGAGGCCTCAGACAGGTATGGACTTCTCAGCCTATAACTATCCCCAGCAGATGTGTTACGGAAGGTAAAAAGCTGATGCTGCCTCTCAAAAGGGTCCTGCCTTCCCTACACCTCCCTTGCCTGCTGTGTTCCAAGTGCTGGGCTTAGGGTGTGAGCTGCTGTGAGCCCAAGCTGGTGGGTGCCCATGGTCCGAGACACGGCTGAAGCTCTGCAGGGTGGCTGGGAGCGCCCTCACTCTCCTACCATTTGCTGTGCCTGGCAGCTGAATGCCTGCCAGCCACGGCTGCTGCAAGAGAAGGCCTTTCACCACCTCCTGCACATGTCCAGAGTCCACCAGAGTTTTCACAGAATGGAAGGTGTCCAGGACTGAAGTGTGCCAACAGCTCTTGCTCTTTCCTGAACATGACATGTGACTTGCCAGCTGGTTTTTCAAGGCTTAGTCTAAATCCTTCCCATCAAGGAGAAAAAACAGGTTTGGGTTGAGCCAGAGGGGTATATGAAGGTGTGGATGGCAACCCACAACCCACATGCTCCATGAGATGGTGCTAAGGGCAGAATCATCTTCCCTCTTCTCTGAAAGCCATGACTGGAAGGTGGGCAAAGGAGGCAAGTCACCAGGAGCAGGAAGAGAGTAGGCCAAGACCTGGAGAGGACTGGAAAAGCAGTGCTGGAAGCCAGCAAAACTCACTTTTGCCCTCTCTCCTATGCACGTATGATAGAAAAAAGGAGTTTAGAATAATACTACCTGTAAAGATCATAAAATCATAGAATGCTTTGTGTTGGACGGGACCTTAAAGTCCATCTAGTTCTAATCCCTCTGCTAAGGGCAGGGATGTCCCTATACTAATTACACTAGGCTGCTCAGGGCGCCATCCAATCTGTCCATGAACACTTCCAGGCATGGGGCATCCACAGCCTCTCTGGGCAATATGAAACGTGCCTCTGTGGCAATATAAATGTATATGCACCACAATGTACACAATTTAAGTGAACCAGGATTTGTGGCACTACAGTCACAGCAGGTAACACAACAGAGTTACCAGCCATTGAAGAGTAGTTCACCTTGCACCTTTTGAGGCAAAACCAGTTACCTGAGGGACTGGAAATGCAGTGGCATTCACAGTCTCTTTCTCTTCCAAACAGTTCACTGAACTGTTCTATATAAAAGCACAACTGTACCAGCCGAGATAAAGACAGCAGAATTAGTGCTTTTATCACAAAGGGTCATGCACAAAGGCTCCTATCAGCAATCAAACCACATGTGTAAACATAGCAAAGCATGGCTTCTGTACAACAAAACATTTAATGTGTTAAACAAGTGTAAATTTTATGTCAAAATAAACAGAAATGTGTGGAAGGGGAGAAAAATAAACTGTCAGAAAAAGAAGGGAACAGAGTCCAATCCTCACTTACTTGCTTCAGGGTGCACACAGAAAGTCAGATGAGGGCTTGGGACAATTTAACTTACCTGTATATTGCTTACCAGAAACCATGTTAGGGCATTTAAGTGCTAAGTTAAAATTAATTCAAGCATGTAAGATATTGTATGCAAAACTAGGCAGTTCAGTAACTGAATATTAAAAAAAAAAAAATTAATGCTCCTTTTGACAATGTACTATTGCAAAGCAAAATATGCAAAAGGATTTCATCCTATCACCAAATATCAGCAATTAGCCCAAAGGCTCAGATGAAGGGAATTTAGAGACCTTGGGTTTTTGTATGTATCTGTATATTTCTTTGTTGATGTGCACTTGCACTGGATGACCAGAACTTAAGTACATGTTGTGTTTAAAAAACAGGGGAAGTAAAAGTAAATGCCTTCCTCAAATTTAAATATATTGCTTTTGAAATGTTGCAAAATGTCACCTTGCTCCTGAGTTAGTAGAAAAGATCATCAGGAAAGCTCAATTTATCTTTTCTGCGTAATTCATTATTTCTTATACTGTATCATGTCCCAGTTCTAAAACCACTTCCATTATTTCCACTATCCTTTCACATACTATTCTATTTATATCTTCCATTATTTTGTCTCTAGCTTCAGACCCATTTTTATTTCGGCTATTTTTCTTTAGAAATTAATTATTAGAATTAAAGCAGGGTATGAAGGGAAAAAATACATTACCCTTTTATACAACATCATAAAATGTCAAAGAAAAATAAGCAGAAATATTACGTTATTTTTACTGTAATGCATCAAGCCTATGTTTATATTCTGCCATCAACAGTAACCAAACAACTTCTCCTTGCACCCTATTCTTTCAAAATGATTTATTTTGGAGTAAATGAATTTGAAAGTTTAGTTGTTAAAACGAAAAAATAAAGAAAACACTCTTCACTAAGCAGAATGTGTATGTTTCTGTAGAAACAACCAGGCAGCAAAACAAAGGTAAACTATGAATCTCTCACTATGCAGAAACTTTCTTACCTGTTTGTCCTTGCTCTTGCTGAATAATTCTTCAATTCCGAGTTGCCAGCACTAGTCCTATAGCTTGTAGTAGACCACGATAGTTTTGTAGTCTTTTTGAGGTTCAATACCTTCAGCATGATTAAAGTTAATAAAATTATACCCTAATTTCTCTTTATGGTAACATATGTGAGTTGGTAGTTGTTATTGTTTTTCCTATGTTTCTGAATGTTCTGTTGCATTTGAAACCTTGCTAATTTAAGTAAATAACCCTCACCTCCCACTCCTTAAACTAGACCTTGATACAATTGCTAACCATCTTAGCAAAACCCACCTCAGCAGTCCTGCAGCACTATGCTTTAGCCTTGCTCCTGCGTCCTGAGCCGTGCATGCTGGTATGCTCCAAGTGTGCCCAGGCTTGGATATTTGCTGAAGCCAGGTGGCTCTCAGTGGCTCTCAGCTCCTGACTGATTAGCCCACAGAGGTAGAAGCTACTGCTACCTGGTACAAGCAAATCACTCCAAAGAGAATTTTAGATTGCAATTTAGACTAGGCATCAACCTTTAATATGCCTCTACAAATGATTAAAAGAATGGAAGAACTGAGTACAAATGATATATAACCAAACTAAAAAACTATTGTTAACTACTGGTACTGGTTGAATTACGACTGAGTGCAACTTCCACTGTTAATGTAAGATGGTACACATGCCTATGTTTAGATTCCTCAAGAGCTGAGTTTCAATACATGCAGCAATATATGGCTATTTAAATACCAGCTCTTAAATAAACTTTATCTCCAAATTACTATTTTGGGAAGGCAGCATGAACTTTCAAATCATAATATCATGCTGTCCTGACAGAGTCACAAGAGGTAACATGCCTGCCAGGGACTAAGATGCATAATACTGCCAAGAGGGTAGACCATGTCAAGAGCATGGACCACAGCCCGCTATTACTTTCTCAAGTGGGTACAAAAGATAGCACAATCCAAAAAATAGGCAGTGTGAAGAGCTGTCCCTGAAGAATACCCATGAGCATGTGGTGGAAAGCTGTGGGTAGGAGTCAGGGACCAAGGCAGCAAGGGGAGCCTTTGGCTGGGGTCTGCTACAGCCGCCTGACCAAGGGCAGCCCATTGACCAAACCTTTGCTCCAGCACAGGAGGCCTTGTGCCCGAGGATTGTGTCCTGCAGGGGAACTCAGCCAGCCCAGCAGCTGTTGGGAATGTAGCTTGGAGGACTGTGGCAATCCAGGAGACTCCTGGAATGCGTGGAGGATAACTTACTGAGCCAGGTGACAGACAGCCCTGCCAGAGGGAATGTGGTACAGGATGGTTGGTCACCAATGCAAGTGAGCTAACTGGGACACCAGGACTGGAGGCAGCCTGGGCTGCAGGGGTCATGCACTGCTGGAGTGTGCAGCCCTGAAGGATAGCGGTTGGGTCAGGAGTTCAGCTCTTCAACTTTAGGAAAGAGACTTCCAGTCTGTTGGGAACCTAGTCAGTGGGATCTCCTGACAGACTGCCCTCAGGGACAAGGGAGTAGAAGAGAGCTGGCAGATCTTTAAGCAGCTCTTCCACAGAGCATGAGAGCTGGCAATCCCCAGGGGCAAGAAATCAGACAAGGAGGGCAAGAGACCATCATGGCTCAGTAGGAACTTGCTGGTCAAAGTTAAGGGAAAGAAGCAAATGCACAGGCAGTGGAAACCAGGACAGATGACCTATGAAGAGTTTAGAGATGAAACACAGCTGTGTAGGAAGGCCATGAGAAAGGCCAAGGCAACAAAACTGGAACTGGCAAGGGACACAAAGAATAATAGGAAGGGCTTCCACAGGTACGTGAACCAGAAAAAGAAGGTCAAGGAAGAGGTGTACCCCCTCTGATAAACAGCACTGGAAAACTGGAGAACTGGTAACAACAGAAAAAGGGCAGGCTGAGGTACTTAACGACTTTTGCCTTAGTCTTCAATGGGAAACTCTTCCCACAGCTCTTGACTGGATGGATAAAAGGATGAGGACTGGGAGAGCCAAGTCCTTCCCACTGTAAAAGACAGTGAGGTTTGTGACCACTTGAGGAACCTGAATGTACCCAAGGAGATGCATCCCAGAGTCCTGAGGGAATTGGCTCATGTAGGTGCATGGCTGCAGGAAGGGCAGGTCCTGTCTGACCAAGCCAGTGGCTTTCTATGATGAGTGACTGCATCAGTGGGTAAGGGAAGGGTTACAGATACACTTTTTCTGGACTTCAGTAAAGCCTTTCACACAATCCCCCACAATATTCTCTCCAAACTGGAGAGAGGGATTTGATGGGTGAACTGTTAGGTGGATTAGGAATTGGTTGGAAGGTGGCATCCAGAGGGTCATGGTCAATGGATGAGTTCCAATGGACAGCAGAGACAAGTGGTGTCCCTCAAGGTCTGTACTGGGACCAGTGTGGTTTAGTACCTTCATTAATGACATACACAGAAGGATCAAGTGCACCCTCAGCAAATTTGCAGATGACATCAAGCTGAATTCACTTGATACCATCCAGAGGGACCTGGACAAGCTCTAGGAGAGGGCCCATGGGAATCTGATGAGATTTAACAAGGTCACGTGCCAGGTGCTGCACCTGGGTCAGAGCAGCCCTGGCACCAGCACAGGCTGGGGATGGACAGATCACAGCAGCCCTGCCCAGAAGGACTTGGGGGTGCTGGTGGCTGAGAGGCTGGACATGACCCAGCCAGGGGCACTCCCAGCCCAGAGAGCCACACGTGTCCTGGGCTGCATCCAGAGCAGTGTGGGCAGCAGGGCCAGGGAGGGGATTCTGCCCCTCTGCTCTGCTCTGCTCTGCTGAGACCCCACCTGCAGGGCTGCAGCAGCTCTGGGGCCCAGCACAGGAAGGACATGGACCTGCTGGAGGGAGTCCAGAGGAAGCCACAAAGATGATCAGAAGGTTGGAGCAGAGGCAAAAGGCTGAGAGATTTGGGATTGTTCAGTGTGGAAAAGAGAAGGCAAGACTATTTACAATGGCACGTAGAGACGGGACAAGGGGGAATGGGTTTATATTGGAAGAGAGTAGGTTTACATCAGATATTAGGAAGGAAATATTTATTGTGAGGGTGGCAAAACACAGGTTGCCCAGCATAACTGTGGATGCCCCATCCCTGCAAGTGCTCAAAGCCATGTTCAATAAGGCTTTGAACAACCTGGTCTAGTGAAATGTGTCCTGTTCCATGGCAGGTGGATTGGAACTAGATGATCTTCAGGGTCCCCTTCCAACCCAAACCACTATATGATCAGCCAAAGATCAGTACCAAGAGTTACTGAACCACTTGAGTGCTGAAAAATATAAATTACTACCAGCAATTCCACAACTACCCTTATTATATATGTTTCTGGGCTTCACTGCTAAAATGTATGAAATACTCTAAGGAGGCAGAAAATACTCAGCAATGTCTGTGACTTACACAGCATTAATGTGCTTTTCTTTGATTTATACTGTGCTATGAGATGCAATTATTGTTTGTTTTCTCCTTTACAATCATGGCCAAAGCTTTTACAGTTCAGTTTTTCTCAGGATGCACACTTTTGTACCTTTTCCTCGTGATCTTCTCACTGGGTCTTAATATTAAAGATTACCTACAGACCAATCTGTAGTTTCCCTGAGACAAGAGTAATTTCTATAACAATTAATTTTTCATCTATTTGAATAGCTTTTACATCACAGTTGAAAACTAATTCAATAGCAAACTTATTGCAGGATTAGGACTTCAGATGTAAGTAATGTGAAAGTAATGTGAATGTTGATTAAGAATATGTACATTTCTCTTGAGGGCATAAGATTCTTGTTTGTTTTTGGGTGCTAGAGCAAACTCTAGGACCACATTTGTCACAGAAGCGCAGGATAACTGCCTTAAAAACCTAACCTCTCTTTAGCATTTGGAGCCTCTTTTTAGTTCTACTAAAATTTAATAAAAAATTCAGGAGAATTTAGTGTGAAGCAAGACAACATTTTTGAAAAAGCAGCATTTTGTATAATTCTAAATTAGAACAGCACTAGTTGGGCATCTAAGAACCATGCAAAGGTCCTGGTCACAGAAAAAGGTTACACTTATTCAAGTATCTTCTCTGTAGTAGAGCCATGAGTTACTAGGAAAAAACATTTTGGAAGTGAGGAGAACTGGTAAGAAATGAAAATGCTCAGCATTTCCCATCCTGCCATGCAACCAGAATGTGAAGGGAAGGTCAAAATCAGTGACCTGACAAAACCACTGAGCTGTACCAAGAAAACCGGGTACACCAACTGGTGCAAGGCTATTGGTCTTCCCTGGCTTAGTTCAGTTGATATGGCTATGAATTTCTCTTTGCCTCAAGCCCTGGTTTTTACAAAGTTGAGAAATGTTTTAGTCTAGTTTAAAAAAGAAATTTGAAATAAAGCTTAACTATTCATTAAGCTAGATGACAGTATTTGCCACAACAGTCTAACAATCAGTATTTCATTTAATACACATTTGAACAATTCAATCAGTATTTTATGAGCAGGCCAATTTGAAAATAGGCAGCTGCTGGCTCTGTGAATTAACAAAAATGTAACCATATAGCAGACAATTATCACAGGAGTACAAACACTGGCTACTTTTGCAAGAACAATTTGCTGATATGTGTATAGTGTCCACCTCATTTGTATTTACTTCAGGTAACCAGGTATATACGATACCAGCATGTCTGTTATCAATTTTCTACCAAAACAAGAAAGAGGGAGCCTCTGTTCATAGGCACTACTTTATTAGCATCTTAACAAAATATTTGAGAAAATGACAGTAGGTAGGAACAGTGTTCTCAGTTGATCAGTTCAGGTTTACAAGCATTTCTAGAAAACCATTTTACTGTGTTTTCACACACCAAAATTCTCTCTAAACCACATACTCGTTGTGTATGTTGCTGGAACCCACCTGCCATTTGAACTCAGTTTTCAAGCAGTGTGATTTCCATTGAACTTTATTACCTAGTATTTGTCGACTATGGGGGGGAGTGGAAACTGATGGGGAAGGAAGGTAGTGGGGGAAGGGAAGAGAGAGGGAAGGACTAAGGTAGAACAAATGGGAAATATATTTAAAAGCGCAGATAACTGACAGTAAAATATATGTTCTTTGGTTAGCAAGCAGAAAAAAAGGAAAGGACTTGCATACATGATAGATACGCACTAGCATTCTAAAGCAGAAGACAAGAATGTCAAGAGTGTATTCTTTCCCCACTGCCAGATGGAAGGGCTATTATTATAAATGAAAGGCAGCAGTAGTGGATGCCAGGCACTTTTGTTGTGTGCCAGATTCTGAAGTCCAGATGTAAGCAGGTTACCCCTGGGACAGGACAGGCTTCAGCTCCCGCAGCAGAACAGAACCAATCACAGTTTTCTC